TAATATGATAGACAAGAAATCCAACGCCAAGGTGCCAATCAGCAACCCATAGGTTAGCAAGACGTCAACCAACCCCAACTGGTAGTGCTTCTTAACTAATGAGAATGAAAGCAACGCTACCAAGATGCAACTGAAATTGGCGATACGGAGAATAAATCCACTAGTTGAAGCAATCACAGGCAACTTGGTGTGAAGAAGCTCATACAAGAGACTTAGCTCAATCTCAATTATTTGAAGCGCACCACGACTACTTCTCCTTTTTTCAAGATAAAAAGTACTTGTGATTTTCTTTTGTTCTTCTTTCTTAGGAGCAGGACCAATGATTATACTCTTTAAACTGCCAAGGAGTAGAACTGCAGTTTGTAATATCCCTCCGTTGTTCTTCACGCCTTTGAATTGTACTGGAATGGGAATTCCATCTGTGGCAGTAGTTACCTGCCATTTTTCCCCGAAATTGTCTAAACTTGCACGATGAAAAGCAACATTTCGCTCAACATATTTTTCCACTCCAACAAATAACACGAGGAGAGTTGCCAACAAAAGATCGTACCTTGAGAGGTACGTTGAAATGGCATAGATGGTATAACCCAGCTGAGGCACCAGCTTAAGCAAGTGTCTTTGCCATAACTTATTATCCTCTAGAGAATAAGAGGTAATGTTGTCTGGACCGCCAAGGTGCAACAAGAGAAAGGGTGCCCAGAAAGCCATGATGTCACTAGGAGGACCGTCCATTCTGGAACTGTTGTGATGAACGATGAATCCGATGGTAGATATAGCAACCCAATCCGCGAACAAGTACGGACCCCAAATAACCCATTTTCCCCAACTGCGAATTCTCTGTCTAAACGGTGCAAGCAGAAGTAAGGAGGCCTGCACAAAGAAGCTTAAAATGATGAATCCTCTAATCTTCCATGCGTCCCATAGCTTCTGAACATTTTCAGGATTAAAGAATACTGGCGCCATCGTTTTCTTTCCCTGGTTATTTTCTTTGCCACCCTTGTTCTGATGAAGTTTATTTTTTTATTTTTGGCCTGATTCTGGAGTAAGTTTCAGCCTGAAGAAAAAGAAGACAGAATCCAGATGCTAAGGTAAATATTGGCTTTTTAAAATTATGATTATTCCCTCACAGAGCAGAAAAAAGACAATTCAAAGAGGAATCATCCTTGGAAAAAAAAGTCATATCCCTACTATATACTCTGCATCAAAGAAATGCAAATAGAAAGACGGTTAATTTGACAACTTCGTAATTTTGTTTTAGAACACTAATACATACATCTTATAAAGTTTCATAATCCATTACACATTAATAGTCTCCATTATTTAATCTATTACATACTAACAATTTACCAAAAATGACTTATTGTTCTGGGTATAAAATCATAATTTACAAAATTTCAAACAAAAATTGACCGTTTAGAATATAGATCAATGTTTCTTGAATACCAAAACAAAATTTTAACTTAATCCAATAGTGAGCTTTTGTAGATAAGACAAAATGATAAAACTGCATATAGTACCAAAACTGCAAAAAAAAAAAAAATACCAAAAGTGAGCTACTATTCTGGACACAAAATTAGATCCTACAAAGGTTTAAACAAAAAACGGACCATTTAAAATATAAATCAATGTCTCTTGAACATTTAAACAAAATTTCAACTCAATTTAATGGTGAACTTTTACGGATTAGACAAAATGACAAAGCTGTATACAATACAAAAACGATAGAAAAACAGATCATAAAAAATAAGTTACTGTTATAAGTATAAAATCAGAATTTGTAAAACTCTAAACAAAAAGCTAACCATTCAAAATGTAAATCAATGTTTTTTGAAATTCTAGACAAAATTTCAACTTAATCCAATGATAAACATTTACAGTTAAACAAAATGACAAAACTGTGCATTGTATAAACACTGTAGAAATTTCACCTGTCTTCTTTTCCCTTTACGTGGATTGGCTCCACTCGCAAGCACTCCCATTTCTGTTATATCATCCCAAAAACTGCTTGTTACGCGCCCCCTGTTTTCTTTTTCCTTTTCTGTGGATTGGCTTCACTCACATACATTCCACTTTCCGCTGTATCATCCAAAAACCGGACTTGTTTTGTGTGTCCCTTGTTTTCTTTTCCCTTTTCTGTGGATTGACTCCACTCACATGCACTTTAATAAGCATTTTTTTTTTTGATTTATTAAAAATATTTTAATCTTTTTATTATCACTTTGATATTTTATTTATATTTTAAAATTATTTAAAAGATAATTAAAATATTAAAAATAAAAATATTAAAATATTTTTAATAAATGGTGTT